ATAGCCTAGATGTCTAATATATTGAATTCATTGTTATTTCCCTTTTACATATAATGAAAAAATCTTACGCTAAACGATCCCACTCATCTCAGTGTACCGTTGAAATAGGCTTCCTGTGGCCTAGTAGTGTCATACAGCTTAATACCTAAGACTGCTTGTTTCCACTGCGATGACTTTGTTGTTTTCCTTTGGATATATATTTTGACCAGCGACAATAGGAGAATAATGGCAGGAGGGACATCAATGCATAGAAACTCGAGGAAGAGGTTTCGTTCAATTTGTTCAAGGAAAAACTAAATAAGAAAAACTGGCTGATCGAGTAACACACGATAAAAAATAGATCCATGTTGGAGACAACTGTTTAGATTGAGAGCACAGAGCACATGATATAAACCATGTATTGAGATAAGATATAAGAATGCGTACAGATAACCACTGGCAAACCCTTCAAACTGCTCAAGCTTAAATAATGTTTAAGTAAAATCTGGCCTTACTACGAAGATATACCAGAAAATTAACTGAATTAAACCAATTATGAAACAGAAGAGAATAATCAGAATAGAGCCCCCCGTTTTAAGTAGGCCACAAGCTCGGAGTGGTGCGAGTAATTCTTCGCAAAAGGTGCGGAGCAATGGCCCTCTCTCCTCAGAGAGCCAAATCAGCAAGGTCACCAAAGCAAGACAGGGGTCGAGGACCATGAAAAGAAGGGCAAAACTCAAGGGGACCATTTTTCGAACGATTAGCAGCACCCTGGTGATTGGTACCCAAAGGAGACGACTGAAAATCGAAAAGAATATAGTGCCATAGCGGCTTACTTTGTCTTCACAACGAGCCAGTATAACAGATATAACTCCGAGGCTTATTCCAAATAATCGGATACATCCCTCAGAGCGCCCTTGGTAATCCAGCCCTAATAGGATGTTATACAACTGAGGAGCAGCAAGAAATGAGAAACCAGTTATGCAGTAGGCAAACAGCGATGACCACTGGACAAACTTCTCCGTTGTTGTCATCGGCTCACTTCGAGGGATCGAAGAACGCGAACTTGAGCCAGTCTGGCCAGTCTAGCAACATCATTAGGATATTCATCTTCTCTATTATAGAAAAGCAAAAGACCAAATATTTAAGATATGTTATTCACTTGAAGTTCACCCTTGAGAGAGACGATTTCATGTCTCTTACTCAATATTAAATTCTGCTTTCATTTTACGTCATTAAATCGTCCAAAGTATGCAAAGTAAAACACGTCCATCTGATCAGGAGAAAATGTAGCGAGAGTTTTTTTTTCATGTTTTAAAGTTTACTTTTTTACGTTCTAATTTCCCCAGGGAATTTACTTAAGTACACACAGGGAAACGACAAATGTTTTGCAGCCAATCAGCTTATGATGCAGCGAACTTACTTTCCAACTTTCGTCTTTGCATGCAGCAAATCGACTTCATTACGCAGCGAAACGACTTTGCAGCTTTTCAACTTCCATAGTAATCCCACAAACAGGGACACGTAAATCGATGCTCTTCTCAGCAAAGTGGGAAAGCGTATACACATATTACGAATGTGCAAGAAGTATGGATATAGTCTAGACTCTTTTACACCATCTCTTCCACAGTCTGATTATACCTCTTTTTACCTATGGCATTTTAGTATGGGGAGTTGCAAGTTACGATAAGTATCTTTCTAAAATTGGTAAGTTTCAGGGGAGAGTAGTTCGGTTTGGCTTTATCAAGGGGGCCCCTCCCATGTTAAGCCCAGGCCTCAGACAAAAAGTTGTGGAAGAGCATCACACATTCTAGGAAGGACCTTTTGGCAGATCTCCTCCCACCCAGTAAAACAAGATTGCCAAATCGTGGCCATTCGTATGTACTTCCTTTTAAATTAGGACTGAACGGTTTAAACGCTGTTTTAGTAACAGGTGTCTTTTCAGTTTTATCTAACAGTCAATTGTAATCTGGAACGTTTGTTTACATACTCGTGATACCCTGGGGACGCGGCGTGATTGTGGAAAAAACGAACTGGGATCTTCGATCAACACTTATTTCCATCCGCCAAACTGCCGTTGACAGATTAATGATTCGTACACAAAGTAAGGGTTAGAGTTCGGGTTAGGGTTAGGGTTGTTGCTATATATTCAAATCAAGCCATCCATTGTCAGCAAATCCTCGGTGGTGTAGGGATTAATAAAGTGATGCACTGCAGAGCCGACGTTCCGAGAGCGAATCCCACTCGTGCCATCTTGAATTTTTTTTTTCCTTAAAAATTGAAGAGACTTAGACTTTTATGAACAGAAATTTCAAGAGACGGAGAAATCTCATGTAAGAAAAGTGAAATGTCTTGTAAGAGCCACTGAGAGGAAAATGTCAGTTTGGCGGATGGAAACAAGTGACGACCGGGATCTTTACTGGGATCTGGGTCGGATGAAATCTGTCACGCGCCTTAATCACGCGCCACTATGTGCGCCACTATGTCACGCAAGATTTATATTGGTATTGTTTGAAACCTCGATCGTGAATTTCTCCACCTTTTTGGTAGATTATTGTCCATTATTAATTTATCCCAACGTTTAAATCTTCCTTAAAGATAAAACATTCGTCCTTTGCAGCCAGGGAGGAGAAAACCTCCATAATATAGTCGAACCTACCATTATCAAGATGGCGACCAAGAAATCGTGTTTGTGGTATGTTTTTATTTTGCAAGGGACTCTCTTTTTTGATAGCTCTGCGTTCGCGAATGGTAAGTGATTAATGTAGTTTCTAATTCCTATAAACTGAAGCTATTTTTCTCATCTGTACGCATTTACACTGTTTCAAATCACCAGAGATTGGTAGTGAACTCTATGTACAGGTCGATGCCTTGTATTGTTTGATTAACAAACAATGGACTTACTCCGTCAACGATTACACGGGCAATAGTTTTAAAAGTTGCCTTAGGCGTTAATTTATGTTTCTTTATTTACGTTAGTTTCAAATATAAATGCTTTAAGACGAATACAGGAAAAATAAATGTTTATTAATCACGGGCAACAATAGTGATAAAGAAATACCTTTACGATTTCCGGCACCAAAAACAATTGGGTGACTGACGTAATTTAAACTAATTATTTTATTAAGACTCATTTGTCAGGGATGATCTTGGGTAACCATTGTCAGTTTTTCTTGTTATAAATGGGCAAACAGTGAACTTAGTATGTCTAGACTATATCTGGATAAGTGAACTAATAAGTAGATAGTATGTCTGGATGAATGGGCCAGTACAGTATCAATATCACTAGTAATGATACTGACACTACAGCTGAGCCTACTCAGTTTGTTGTCGGTCTATTGGATCCGTGGTCTTTGTGTAGCTCTTTGAAAAATACCGATTTCATATTGGAGATTTTCACACATACTCTGTACAATAGGTGAGATAAAAACAAGAAACGCAAGAGTCCATCCACTACATGGAGGCTTTGATCAAAACACCCTAAGTTTCAAGAATTTTTTTAACTACCAGAAAAGACTTGATTAGATGTGGAAATTTTTCCCATTTCTCTTGCTTTTCTTTACAAACAATTCATTTTAAGAGCCGGAAAGCAAGCCTTAGGATTTTAAGCTTTGATTAATTCTGCACTCGTGTTTTGGTCATTTTTTTTTTTAAACTAAACAGCATTTAAGGCAATACTTTGCTTTAAAAAATCTTTATAGAGGGGCATCTCACATCTGTGAAAATTGAAGGGGATACCTCGGTTTTTCGAATTAGTCGCCCTTATTGAAAAAAGGAAGAAAAAGATAAGATGTAAAGAGAGAAACACCTTCTATAAAACAATAATGTCATTTAGGTTTACCTTTCACAGTAAGAAATAAGGGTGACATCAGATAGATGGTCAAGAAACATATTACCACGTCTCCTAATTTCACTGCCTTTTTAAAGACAAAGTATAATATTATTAGGAAATGCAAACCTGACTTACTTTCAGACATCCTGGGAACGTTCACAATAAATTAAGCAATACACCATAATAAATGCAAAATTTATTTTTCAAATTCACAATCTGCCAAACATTTCTTCTGTGAGAAGGGCATTTAAAATTCAAATCCGGCATTATGGTGGGGCATTTGAATTTGAACATATCTGTTTTAAAAAGTTCAAGTGCCCTGGGGTTGTCCGTGAAGAGGGGCGTGTTGAAGTTTTGAAATGATTGATACATAATAAGAAGCATATGCTTTAGCCAAGTAACACCTCCCCCTCCCCTCTTAGGAATACTAGTATCATCAAGTGCAGTGGTCAAGAGCACAGAGGCAATTATCATTTAAAAGAAAATAGTATGGCTAGTTTTTTTCTTGTCCCTTTTTAATTACCTCAGAGTTAAGATATTGTCCTTTACAGAAGTTTTTTCAGACTTTTGTTTTTCTAATCATTAGCATTTGACATCAAATCTAGCTAAGCTATAGAAACAATTGAAGAAACAAAGACTGAAAATGAAAACCTTTACAACTGCGACGAAATACAAGGATGTTATAAGCAAATGCCTGACTTTTTGAGAAGAGAGAGAAATAAAAGCTTTCTTCATCCAATTCGGTAGTTTTCTTTTCCACTTTGTTTGTCTTCCGTTTTAGGTCTTGTCCATCTTCCTGATCTAAGCGACTAACATTCTTCTACATGTTTGGCAGATATTTCGCTGAGTTCAGATTCTATTGTCGCGAGCTTTTCTAATTTTTCAACACACGTTTAAGTTGCTGTCCTACGTCAGGGGTGGATCCAGGATTTTTTTTTAGGAGAGGGTGCACTCGTCTCTTGCTATACTTCAACAGCAATAAACCACATAGTTTTTTTTTTGCAGAATACCATTTGTATTAGAAAACCGCAGGTCATCTCAGGAGGGGGGGTGCGCACCCCCTGCACCCTCCCCCTAGATCCGCCCCTGTACGTCTTGCACCATCTTATTTGTAGTTTTAGGTTGAAGTTATATTTCTTGACTTGATTGACTGCTTGTGCATGAATGGGCATTTATTCAAGGTTTCATTCAATTTTTTTTTAAAAAAAAACTTAGAACCTGTGAGTTCAGAATATTTCGTTATGTCACAGCTAATAAAAGAAACGTAACACAAAAAACGTTCTCATGTAAGCGGACCCCAGCCCCTCAATTTATCGTTTGTACAAGAAGGTAATAGACTCACAAAGGAGTTTTTGCACTTGATGTAAGGATCCAATATTTCATTCAGCAGTTTGTTGACATCTCTTACCTTTGTTCACAACTCTAATGTTTCTCTGGTCCTCGGTCAGCGTTAATTTTTGACACCTCTACGTGAATCAGATACCTAAATCGGAATCTCTCTCCGATCCTGACCTTCTTCCCTGGACTAATGTCAAAATACTTCGTTTTCTTTAATAAGTAATCCTCAATAATGTAGAAAAAAAAATTCCCTTAACTGGAAACTTAGATTAATCTAGTTGCCAAGCATTTATTCATATACTAATAGGTATTGTAAAATATGTAGGGTACGCGGCTCAAAAACCTTTCTTATCAACAATTTATTATTCCTTGCATTAAATCAAATTAAAGAACGTTAGGTATTTCATTCTTCTACCTGAAGCCGTTCCGTTTTTTACAAATTGAACGACTTATATGTGGCGTCAGTTGAACTACTGCTTTAAAAGATGACGCGTTTACTAAGCTGAAGTAGAATTATAAAAAGCGGGACGATTAATTTACCATTGTTCGTTCATCACTGCCTACCTATTATAAAATCCTTCATTTTTCAATGTCTCTCTTCAATGTTCTCTTTTAGGAGACATTGCTAGATAACCCCTGCATATTTGTGGTGGGTAGCGCATGAATCTAAACAGGTTTGTCTACCTGAATAGGACGTAGGCGCTTTACCAATATACAGGGTCTGAAATAGGAAGGTAATACATTCATGGTGTCTGCTAGACTAGAAAACACTGGAGGCCAGTTATTTAAACGGAGTTTAGGCATTGCCTAACAAAACCGCGTTCTAAGCCATTTTCAGTTTGCCCAATGCTTTTATCTTAACAC